TTAACTAAGAACAAAGCCATTGAATAGATGCAGATATCAAATCCCCACAGGAGACCTGGGCTATTTTTACAACTCAGATGATGGCTCATGACATGCATAATTCATACATGCCCCGCTTTAATACAGACTACACAGTACTGTACCAAATGCACAAATACACTCTGCTTTAATACATGCCAGAACACACCTAGCATAAGAGATTGTTGCTGTATGTTTAGTTTACTCATCAATCACAACCAGCACAAAATACTAGCCCTTATTAAAACCCTTTAAACTATGGGTGACTTTCCATATGAGGAAATTTAGGGTCTCATGTCATGGGTCTGTCTTTTCTGTCAGTCCTATGCTGTGTTTGTGCTTATAGAGTAAATTTGCTCTATAAAAACATTCGACAAGGTCTTGTTCTGTTGTTTATGTTTTTTGTTGCTTTTCTAGCTCCAAAGCCCTGAACTGCTGGGATGGAGGTGGAGTGTTGATCTCATCATGGTTGCTATTCTAGTCATTTCTTCACTGTATCCTTTCCCTTGTCTAAAACACAGTCTTTTCACTCGTGATATATGTTGAGTGAGTGTACAGACAGTCTGCTGAATCTTTACAGCAAGATAGTTGTTGAGTGTGTGCTGTGTGCCTCGCAGTCCTTTTGAAGAAGAACTTGAGGGACAATATTTCATTTATTTTGCCTGGCATCTGTATACACTTTTGAGTCAGTTGAGGCTTGTGTCAAAGTAAAATTTATCAAGACACTTCACACTGCCTTGTACAAAATCATTTTTTCAATTTTACATTTTCCTCAAATATTATGAATGGAAAAATGCGTTTGACACATACAGTCTAATGGCTCCAGACAGTTTCAATATATATATATACTCATACTGACCAATGTCCAGCCAGCCCAGTACATTTACTGAATAGGTAAGGACTGCACAACGGATTACATAATACATGTGGTTTGTGTACTCACATGTATCCATGGTGTACACACCATGAAGTATCTACATCATAAACCTTTTATCACAGCATGGCCACAGTTATCTCAGAGGTATTTATATCGACGAATGGGCTCTCCGTTCCTTTGTATGTCTGCCTGTTTGAAATCTGTCTCCCTGTCAGTGTGTGGTCTCTCTCTTTTTGTTTGTGCCTGTTAAATCTACTTATTTCCTGTAATGCTTTGCTCCCTTTTTGTAAGCCAATTTATCATATAATCAGTACGGCAAAGCTGGCCATGAAACAGATTGTGTTAAATGTACTGCTGTTAACCTTAGGACACCTGCAATTATTGAAGTTTTAAATCTGTGTGGTAGCTCTCTATCTAAATACTCCATTAACTCTATAAACTTAATGTCATATAACTGGATTCATATCGAGTGGTGTCACTAGCTGAATCCTTTACTGCAGAAGTATTATCATATCTTTCTTTTGTCCAGATAATCTCTCCCATATCAAACAGCAATTTTAGTAGCACTGAAAGTAATGTCTCAGATGTATGTAATTGACCAACTGTCAGTAGTTTCTCAGCTGTTAAAATGTGAAATTATTGGAGATCAATGCAGCCTGCTGACATGCCATGTTCAGCACTAACTGGCAGAGTCAATTTCTCCAGAGACAGTGAGCAAACCTGGAGACACTGACTGCTTCACCTCTAGTGGTGTCTTGTTACTCATAAGTAAAAGGAAAATGTGTTTCACAAAATACATGATGCTACATGAGACTTTGTGTGTAAGACTTTGTTGCCTCCACCTGTCTGACTTTCCACTGCATGTGGAAGGTGAACACTTTTTATAAAAATACAATGAAAACCCTACATGCACTGGTGATTGTCATGAGTACAATCCAGTTTTTCTTGGGTGCCATTTGTATCACCATTTAGAACCCAAGCATTGGACCTCATACAGTACATCATGACCTCATCAGGATCAACCTAAAACACTCTAATGCGTCCTGTTCTACTGAATTCATGGCCATGAATATCATCCCGAAAAATCACCTGAACAATCTCTTTCATTGATGCCTTTGCTTTCCACCCCACTCACTTGTTATGGATCTCTCCAGGACGACATGCCAATTCGCAGAGGCCGCCAGAAAACTACACGAAAACGAGAGGAAGAGTGTGACATCGATTTGGACGACGCGAGAACCATTTCCCTTTCCCTTCCATGAGTCTGATGGTGTGGCTGTGCTTATGAAACGTCAAAGATGGCATTCGTGGCAGCATGGCGAAGAGGCCATGGCCAAGGCCTTGGATGCCTGTAAGCTTTGTAAGCCATGGCACACGAAGCCTCAGAGAATGACATGGTGGATGACATCTCCAGGAACTAAACCACAACTCCAGGTGAGTGACACAGACAGATACTGCCATCTCTGCTTGTGTGGTTTTTAACATGCTATTCCAATATAGTGCGAGTGTCCCAAGCAGGGCTTATTTCATGGAAATATATCCTGTGTTAAATGATTAAGGCAAAGTTGAGTAGGGAGTCTAGATGAGAACGTTTACCACCAAAACTCAAGCACAAAGGTGATGCACACATACAAACACACTAGCATGTCTTGTTCCCTGTAAAACTGACCTGTTTCGAAAGACTACAGGCTCCCACAGGACGTAAGTGACATACATACAGAAATCTAATAACATGCATCATCGTTAGTTAAGGATATCATATGAGATGAAGGTATCACTAGAGATGAAAATGCTGGCTACGGAAATAACCATTAATTAGGGGAAATTTTTCAGTTACTACAATGAAGCCAAGCAACACCAGGAAAAACCTCTCCCCCAGCATTCACACACACACAACACACACACACACACACACACACACACACACCACACACACACACACAGTTTCAAAAGGATAGCCTCAGAGCTGGCATATGTTGAGTTTACCTTTCCACAGAGAATTTGGCTGGCTTCCTTCGAAGAGCTCATTTAACTAAATACATTTTTATATCTTCATGTTATCGTCACATAATTTGTGGTTGTGGTGTTTGTGAATGTCTTGTGTGTGTGTGTGTGTGTGTGTGTGTGTTGTGTGTTGTGTGTGTGTGTGTGTGTGTGTGTTGTATAAACTCAAGGATCTTTGTGTGAACTAGTGTTATTTATCATGTATGGCAGTACTTACAAGTAAAGCTTATATTTGTGGGGAGTTTGTACATTTTAAGGCGCTTGTAAACAAGATAAACAAATACTGTTGAAATTTCACCCTTTGTACAGTGAAGTCCAAAAGTCTGATATAGCGCTTGGTGGTCTCAGACCCCACTGTGTGTATTAGGTTCCTGTATTAGTTCAGCTCAATCCATCCATTCATGCAACACTGGTGAACTGTGCCATGTGCTGACTATCTATAACAACCAATAACAACATAAGTCCTCCAAACCCCAGTATAGTTAGTGCTTGTTATACACATTAAACTACACAGGACTGATTGCATTACAGTGTAGGGTGAAATACGTGTGTGTGTGTGTCGTGTGTGTGTGTGTGTGTGTGTGTGTGTGTGTGTGTGTGTGTGTGTGTGTGTGTGTGTGTGTGTGTGTGTGTGTGTGGGAAGCATGTTTTGTCAGAGGGAGAAATTAGGGCGAAACTTGATTCTCGAGTCTTGATTTATGTTATTATCATATTCATTTCGACACACTGGGTGGTGCTTTTATGTTTCGATTTTCATATTTGTTAGTGCAAGGTTTTGTTTATTGATATGTGTGGCTATGTTACATTCCTATGTTTCCACATTGTTCTCATTATTCTGCCTCATTCACAAACAAATATTTGACATTAGCCCAAATGTTCAGAACATTTCCTTGTTCATCTTTAAACATACATTATAAACTAAAGCATTCAAAAACCCCTTCACCTTGTGTGACGGGCCGTGGCAAGGCCCGATTTAACTGAAACATTCGGGTACTTCTGACCCCCTTTAATACCTCAGTAAAACAGTTAATCCACAGATACCTAACTGATACAGGTGACAAAAGATGGACTGAGACAAGGATTTCCCCCAAGATTACAAATTTATTTAAATATAAGAGAAAGTTAAGAGAAAAAGAAAAACAACAATAGAAAAACATAAGTGCCTCAAGTTCCAATTTGTCTCATATAAAATGAAATAACAGGAACACAAAAAAAAGAAAGGAGCCGTAGGATATAGCAGGTGTGGCCGCAGGCAGGGAAGGGAGAAATTATTTAAACCGGTATAGGCACCTCCACCAACTCGGTGCCCTACACACATCAAACAGCAAATCAAACAAGGGGATGCAAATAAATAGTGAAGGAAGTGCAAATTTACCAAACACACTAATATGGGGGGTGACGAAGCACAGGTGAGGAACTTCTACCACCAAACCCTCCCACCGTCGAGCCGGCCACGCTCGGCTGCCGCACCTACAGCACTGTAGAAACAAACAAAAGAACAGGTATTAGAACTTGAGACAGGTAAAATTCTTGGGGAAAATAACCAAACCAATACCGAGGGACAACAGTGTGCAACCAATGAAACAACTAAACAGACCAAAACACAATAATTAACCAACAAAACAAACAGAGCAAAGACAGCACACCACAGGCTCACCAGACAGCACGAGAGAGCAAGAGTAGCAGCATCAGGGTGAATATTATAGCCTTCCCCAAACAAATTAAAACCAGGAAGTGGGCATGACTAAAACCCCATGGTGACCTGGAAGGTATCTCCCACTACCTGTTACACTTGGAAAAGATAGAGATGTAATTACCAGTGAGAATTTGGGCGTTCTTTGCTGGGTGCATGTGTGTGCATCACTAAAGATATAAGATATCCTCATCATATAAGGCCTTGAATGGGCTTGTGTGTTGATATGCAAAAGTGTGTGTGTGTGTTCAAATGTTTGTATGCAAATCTAATCTCTCCAGAATTTGGACAGATGGTCTGTGATTCCTTGACCAGTTCAGTTACATTTTCACATGTTTGGACAAAGTGTGTTACAGTCTCTGTTCATGTCTCTGTGTGCCTGTATATGTCCTCCCTATAATCTCCCAGAGAGTTTGGCCAGCTGGCAGTGGAACTCTTAGACCAGTCCTATAAACAGGATGAGCAGATGGCCATGAAGCTGCTGACATATGAGCTGAAGAACTGGAGCAACGCCACCTGCCTGCAGTTGGCGGTAGCAGCCAAACACAGAGATTTCATCGCTCACACCTGCAGTCAGATGCTACTGACCGACATGTGGATGGGACGCCTGCGCATGCGCAAGAACTCCGGCCTGAAGGTAAGAGAAGCGGGCCAGATGTTTGACAGTACCTGTGGGTAAAGAATAGTATAGTTACATTACATGAAATGTCAGGAGGCAGGGTTGTACTGAAATGCTCTGACTACTGGTGAAAAGTTGGGCAGGAAAAATAATGAGAAACGTTCTCACCTGCTTAAGAAACTATTTTAGAGGTGGCCCAAATCACTCTTGCAGATCTGCTGAGTGACTTCAAGAAAAGTGGAGCATGATTGTACTTTCCACATGTTTGGAAATGTAGGAATATGTACATATATGTACAATATACCTGTACTAGCAGCAGAGGCCACAAAGCCTTAGCTTATTACAAATATATCAGTACATATACAGTATCAGTATGTATATTGGCAGATAAGTAGCAAGAGATTGCAGTATGGAATGCAGGTATGCATATTTTGATCACAATTCCTAAGTGAAGCTCCAATTACAAATAATGTACAATGATGTGCAGTGAACTTAAAGATATACAGTACAATAGCCACATCCCTGTTGAATCTCATGCACCACCAGTCCTGAAACCAGCCCAGTACTGAGGGCTGACCTTCTGTTCAAATCACCCCTCTACTGTACAGTGGTTTGCCTATTTATCTTGACTAAATTCATATGACCAAAACTGTGCATGTGAAAAAAGGAGCTTTTATTAAAACAATGTTCTAACAATTAAGGAAGCTAAAGGAGGGAACACACTAGTAGGGCTGGTTATAACTGTGGTGTGGCCATGATGACTCATTCCCAATGATGTGGAGCGTGTGCACTGGACTGTGAAAAAGTAGACAGGTCACCACTGACGGTTAAAATACTTTATCTTACCGTTTGTGGAAGCCAAGGCCTCAACATATCCGCTTCCCGATGGATGGAGTCACTCTGTTTATTTACAAAACAATTACATGTATGCACACTACAGTTCAAGACCAACATGACTATACAGAGTAATATTTGTTGATAACACGTTAATAATGGTGGGTTTATGTAGGTAAAATGATGTACTTAAAGACAGACTGTGATACTTGAAGGTCAGCCAGTCGAGTTCTGTGTGATGGTGGGGAGGAGGAGCAGCCAGAGCAAAGAGGTTTGTTGGACAATAATAGTTTAGAGAAATATTAGTGTGGTGTAATGAGTGTCTGGGCGAGGTTGTCGTGGTGGTCTCTTGAACTTCCTCCACAACTTCATTTGTATAAGCCTACAAAGCCTTCTCTCAAGCCAGAGGAGACAGAAGGAACTGCCCTTAATGACTAAAAAAACCTTGAAGTTGTGCTCCACATATTATTCACTGAGGCTCATGTGGTGAACATCCTTTTGAGTCAAGCAGAGAGGTTTCAGTTAAGACTGCTGTTTGAGTTTTGAGCAATTTTTGCACACACAGGTTTTCCAGACGTCTGGTGGTATGGCGATAGGAGGCCGCCGCTCAGATCAGAGAGGTTAGGGTTATTTATAATGAAGAGTTGCCCTGGGAGTTGCTATAGGGACGGCTGGGTTCACACATATTCACACACATGGCGAGGCAGGATGATGGGTCTGACTGGCTAGCTTCTTGGAGCCGGGGCAGACTGTAAGTGCTTTAAGTGAGGTTTTCCCTTTGCAGGAGGGAGGGAGAGAGAGTGCTGCTAAGTCAGAAGTAAGACAGAAAGGAAACCATGTGTGCAACAAACAAGATTCAGTGGCCCGAGGAGTTCATGATATACAGCAAATAACATTGTCAAAATGTTGTCAAAATAATGTGTGTGCACATTTTTGAGACGCTATAGTTGAGAGGAGAGTCAGCTTCAACCCTCCAACACTCGCCGCTTGTGAGAACATCTTTACTGGAGGCTACAGATGACTATAAATTGCAAGGACGAGTACATTGATTTCTTTGCATATCAGTAAGTCCGACAAACTATTGACATCTTTACCTCCGACCTCTCAAGATGACTGATGACAAAAGAAGCTGAAGCATTGCTTTCTGCGCTGTGTAATTTGGTTTTCTCACTGGTCACTAACCCAGTTCCTTCACACTAAAACTATTCTTTTCATATATTCAGTCATCTAGGAAACTCATGTAACTGTCTTAACTGACACATTTGTTATTAAATTATAACATTATTATTATTTTTTCCCATTTGTCATACTTCAACTCATCACAAATGAATGTGAAGTCAATTTGAATTGATTTAATTTCACTTCACTTTTGAGCTAGTCGTCAGTGCAATGACAGTTTCACTCTGAAATTAGTTAAAGGGAGCTGCTTCCAGAGATAAGAAGACACTCAATTACACTGGTCTCCATCTTCCTCTCTTTCCTTTTTCTTCACCTTCCCACTGAGGTAACAGCCCCGCTCTTTCTTTTCTTGTTTGACTATTATGTATCTGAAGTGTTTACAGCACTCCTGCCTCCTTTATCTGCTGCGGGTGTGTGTCCTTCACATCCATTGTGGCAGCACAGAAGCCTTGCCTGCCTGTCTGGACTAATGGTTTTGTAATTGATGAAAACCCGCGCCTGAGCTGTTGTAAATACCAAAGCTTTGTCATTCAGGCGTGCACAGGCTGGACATGAATGGGAGGTGCTCACAACGGTAAATTTATATTATGTGAGTTTCACGTGTGCATGTCACAGGCCGATTGTGAAGGTTGGTTTGTTCCAGACTCTCTGTGTCCTAATTTCTGTAGCGCTGCTCATGAACATCTTTATCACATCTGTGGTTTGTCTCTTCCAGCTCTTCTCCCTAACTTTCCTCCTCCTGCACCTCCACTATGAGGGACAATTGACATAAGAATAAATAAATAAATGAATGAATAAATAAATGCATAAATTGATAATTAAATACATAGATAAATACAAAATAAATACATTTTGGTAATAAAAATTCTATTTCTATATTTTTACATTTATTTATTTTTTGCATTTTTACATTTATTTATTTATATATGTGTCCATATCTTAACTGGGTTGGTGGTCCCACCTCAGTCTAAAGCTGGATTGTTATAGCGGTGTGACTGATTGGATGGATCTACTACTACTGCCTTGACTTTACTGACACACAGGAGCCTTGCCTTCAGCTCGCTATTAGCCACTTAGCTAAACTCATTACCTCAAAGCACTTTATAGAGTAACCTTACAATATTATAGAGACAAACCAGACAGTTCCCTCTACTAGCAGCACTTGGTGACAGTGGAGAGAAGACACTCCCTTTTGATAGGAAGAAACCCCGACACCCTGAGCGCCGGTAAGGCGAGGATGTGAGGTCTGCCTCAACCAGAAAAATGTAACCACGATGTTGTCTGACAAAATCACCAAACATATAAGTTAAAGACAACTATGCTGTGATTTTGGCTATATTTACTTGTAAAGTGATCACTCAGTGATGGCACATTCAGCCATGCGGACTGAATGCGCTGCTCTGCCTCTCTGCTATTTACTCAGCAGAGTAGATGCAGAAAGTGCCTCTTGCAGTGGGCTGGCAACTGTCCTTTTTGGAAAGTAGCGAAGGTTTGCCCAAAAAGATTTGTTACTAGGTGCTATTTGAAAAAAAAAAAAAAACAGTGCTAAAGAGGTCTGAAAAGTCACTAAATCTAGTGTCAAAGTCACTAGTTGGCAATACTGGAAAGGAAAAGCTCCTGTGTACTAGTCAAGTCAAGGCAGTAGTAGTGGACCCATCCAATAGATCACATCGCTCCAGCTTTAGACTGAGGTAGGACCTCCTACCTAATTAACATATGGATGGATTTATGTATTTAATTATTTATTTCTGCATTTATCAATTTATTATTTATTTTTTACGTATCATTTTTTTTCCCTCATGCTCCACTTCCTTTTTCCCTCATCAACCAGGTAATCTTAGGGCTGCTTCTGCCACCGTCCATCCTGAGTCTGGAGTTCAAGAACAAGGATGAGATGTCTTACATGCCCCAGGATCAGGAGGCCTACCTGCAGGAGAAAGAGGAGGAGGAGCCTGAGAAACCAGTCAAGGAGAAGGAGGAAGAAGACATGGAGTTCACAGTAAGATCTTACTGTGAGGCGCAGTACAACTCCGTGGTGAGAGAACCCACCTCAGCCCCGCATCTCAGAATCTATACACATTCAAACTTTAGACAATAAACACACACACACTCTGTTCAGATCATAAAACTGATCACTGACCACACTGACCAGATTCTGTGTCCTTTGTAGTCATCTCTTGTGGACCAGTTTTACACAATGTTGTTGCTGTCCACAGTGAGATGATGATATGCACAAACATATGAGTGACACACACACACACACACACGCAAACACACACACTCACATTCGTTTCTCTATTCTGGCCAACTGGAACCTACCAGCCAAATCGGCCATTTCCTGTTTCTCGTCGTCTCAGCAAAGACATGGTCGTGGAGTTGTAGCGTCTCAGTCTGTCGCCGCTTGTGGGTTCCCTCCTGTATGTTTCTTCTTCTATCTATCTCCTTCTCTATTTCTCTGCCTTTCCTTTCGTCCCTCTTGTTCTCTACCCAGCTCTCTCTTTGCTTGTTTTTTTTTTTTTATTATTTCTTTTGCTTTCGATCTCTTGTTCTACAGCTCTTCCCCTCTCTCTAGTTCTCTTTCTTTTTCTCCTTCTTTCTCCAAGCTCAGATCTGATCGAGGTACAGTACTGTATGCTAGCCGATTGCTGCCCCTCACTCTCTCCCATCAGTGATGGCTTGCTGCAGCATACCACTCAGCATGTCGGCTGCTGAGCATGGGAGGCCCAGGCTTTTGCATTATATAACCATGTCCGCCTGCTGCTGCAGAGCTTAAATCATGCAGAGTCTGAGCACCTTCTCCCAGCTCACAGTGGAAGAGTTGGTCCATCTGCATAGACATGGATGTACAGCAGGATTAGGACTCGTTCCATTTCAATCCAATTAATTCTGGAGATGATACCAAGATCCAGCTTGTGTGTTCAAATCAAGCCTGGAATTTGAAAAGCAATTTAATGCACAAACTGGATCTGAGGTTGTCCCATTGAGTGATTGAACTGAAGTTGAACGCCTTTCAGCACCACTGTACATACTCTCCATCTGCATTGAGCACAGCCAGCAAGCCAGCGCAAAGATTCACAAAGCGGGTCATTTTGCACATGCAGTCCTTGAGGCAGTGTGGTGGTAAACAAAGAATCCTGCTGCCAGAGGATGCATTTGAATGAGCCCTTCCTGTTGCCCTGGCTTCTGACTGTACAAATGCACCTTCAGATACTTATGAATCACATAAAGATTCATACAGATACACAGACTTCTACACCACAGAGGGAGATTGTATTGTCCTATCCTCAGATGCTTTAGATAAACCACACTGTGATGAATGTGTGATAGCTTGTGTCCACTCACTGATCGGATAATGTGCATGTTCAGTGCAGTAAAGGCATGGTGTGATTTACACACTGGCATCTGAATCTGTTCACCTTGAAGGCCCTGTCTGTGTGTGCCTTGGAGAAAACTTTGGCTGTATATGTTTCATATATTCAGAAGAAAATAGAAATCCCTTGATTCCTGACTGATTGTGATTTCCTCTTTGATTTCTTGCTGATTTCTTAGCAATGGTTTTATCACTATTGTACCTGTTTAACCACCTGGGAACTTAAACCAGCATCTCATGGCATATTTCAAATATTTGGACAGACTTTCAAATATGTTATATTTGCCCAGGTCGACTATACTTGTTGACATACAATACAATTCCATGAATTAACTCCCTCAGAGGTCTGGTGTTGTTTTGACATTAAGACCATGACCCATAAAAACAGTGGGCTCCGAACCCTCTCTCATGGATAAGGAAATGTGTCACAGATTGAAATGAGATATCTATGTCCGATCTTTTCCCTTTCCCTTTTCTGTCGTCTTTCTGTCATTATCTTCGTCCCTCTTCTATCTCTTAATTGTTGTCTGAGACACAATCCATGAGTGTCTGTGTCTGCGTCATATTGTGTTACCAGCCTTCACCCAACACTCCACCTCAAACACACATTTCACATTTTGGAATGATGACATTGCCTGTGCTTGCTTCTTTGATTATGATATTAAAACTTTGTTGTAGCCCATAATGTAACACCTCTCCCCGTTCTCCCTTTTTCTCTGTTTTTCTTTGTTATTTGGTTCCTCGCATCCCACCTCCTCCCTTCCACATACTTGTCCTCATGATCATCCTCATGTACCCACTGGATTTCCTCCCCAAACTCTTCTTCCTCTGTCTTTCCAATCCATCACGCTTCCCTCTTCCCACACTCTCCATCCCTTTATCCCTCACATCTTTCACTCCGTCCTCCCTCGTTCTACGTGGGGTTTGCATTCGCCCAGGCAATGCTGGGTAAGGTAACCACGGAGACATCCAGAAAGAAGGATGTTGAGGAGGTACAGAACCGCCACCGCCTCATCCCCATGGGACGCAAGATATATGAGTTCTACAACGCTCCGATTGTGAAGTTCTGGTTCCATACGGTCAGTGTCGGCTTCAGCAGCATTACCTACTCAGCTTCCTGTTGGCGCTGTCAGTGCTTACTGTATCTCTGCAACAGCACCAGTTGCTGGTTTCCTGTCATAAGCTTTTACTTCCACAGTGCTTCCATCGCCATTAACCTGTTGCACGCTGTCATTACCCAGCTTTGGTGGGGTGGGAAAGTTTAGTGTGGATGAGATGGGCAGACCGATGGAAGCAGGAACAGGGGAGTGAGGAGGAGAAGTGAGTCAGAGGGAGGTTTTGTATTGACCGTGTTAACACACACCGAAACCTCTGACTCTGAGTAGATTTCCACTGGACTAAATATTTCAGTAAGTAAATATTATTTGATTTAAAATTAAGCTTTAGAGTGTTTTCACCGTTCATCTTGATTCTGTAACTCTAGATGTCTTTGAAGTTCGTGTGAAGCTTGTGTTTTGTACAGTATCTGCCTGTGAGCGTGTAATGGTTGATATAAGTTGGTCTTTTGTTCTTTGGCTCCTTCACTTTACTTGCCCAGTAATCACAGGGATTTCACTGTTTATTTATGCTGAGAAAATACTCTGACTGCCTTTTGTTTCATCCCATTTTCTCTTCTCTGGCTATTTACTCCCTTCCTCTTCTCCCCCCACCTCTCCTTTCTGGCCTTCAGGTTCAAGAAAAAAATCTACTGTGAATTTCAATAGTGCACTTGTGGAACAGATGCTGGGTTTTCTCGGGGTCAAAATGTGGTCTTTACCTCATTACCAGATTTGTATTCATACTCGTCACCCACTGTAAAGCACTGCACTGTTTATAAAGGCATCACACAAACCAACTGCGCATGTGCGACTGAATGAAAACAGTCCTGGTCACACATTATTAAAATCACTTTACCTTCCTACTTCAGTGGAATGCTTAATTTAAAACTGGAAGAAAGTCACAAGTCTACATTTTTTATTACTTAAATATGCTATTTAAATATGTGAAAGCTTTTAACGGCTAACCGGTTAACCCTAGCTGTCCAAATCAATTCAAATATATTCATATAATTTAAACAGTCCTAGAGAATACTGAATCACTAATTGCTGGAAACCATTAAAGGTCATCAAAAGTGTCATCAATCTGATTGAAATCCAGTAATGACAGAACCCATGTATGAGAAAGAGATGTAAAAATGGGTTTTATATGCATATGTGTCAAGCCTTCTGGGGACTAATCTTTAGATGGTTAGGCTTGCATTGTGATCCAAATTTGATCTAGTCTGGATTGTAATGAGCCACAGCACACACGTAGCTCTACAGTTCATCTGCTTTTGCCAGGCCCGCTGACAGTGAGCTGCTTGTGGACTAAACTTGTCTTTATTATAAATTCTTACCACTTTATCTGATCACTTGACTTACCTTTTAATTTATTATTCTAATCACTTCACACTTTGCAAACTACAATATTGACTGTATCTGGATGTTATTAATCTTCAGCACTTTATGCCTTCATCTGTACATTATTCATAGCCGGACTATCAGTCAATGCTCCCACTTATCCATTCATTAATCTTTCTGCTTATTCATCTTAGCTGCTGTCTTCATGTACCAGTTGATATATGTACTTTAATGCATCTGGCTGCTATGACAGTTGGCTTTCGCTGTGGGAATTAATACGCCCAACTATCTATCTATCTATCTATCTATCTATCTTTCTATCTTTCTATCTTTCTATCTATCTATGTTTAGGAAAAATTAAAGTGGACAGCTGACATGGATTTAAATAGTTACAGCCACAGGAGACAAGTAATGGACATTTTCAGGCCAAGTGTGGAGGCACAGCAATCAGTGCCTTGACATCAAATCTCTATTATCAGATCTGAAAAACTGCATTAAAGGGAGGTGTAATGAGGGTCAGCCATTCATTAAATAAGCGTTTAATTTGAGCAGTTACACACAAAAACCCTTTTCACATTCGCCTTCGAGCCCGTTTGTTTGCAGAGAGAGAATTGAACTTTATTGATGTACAGTTTGCTAATGTGGGAAAAGCGTACAAACACACACACTAACACAAGCACATAACCATCAATGTGTCCCTGCTGATTTCCCACACCGTTGTGTTTTATGTAGATGGCATACGTTGGCTACCTGATGTTGTTCAACTACATTGTCCTGGTCAAGATGGACCTGTGGCCTTCTCCTCAGGAGTGGATCGTCATCGCTTATATCTTCACCAATGGCATCGAGAAGATGAGAGAGGTACACTCGATCCTTGTAGTGGCTGCATGCAAATGTGCACAGTGAATGTAGAACTGTATTGAGCATTCAATAATAATTTCTACACCACTGAACTGAAGACCTGAGGCTTGTCACCATAATGTCGCCTACCTGCCTGGAGGGCAGAGGCTAAGCATCATGTCCATATCATCAAACAGCTCAAAGTAAATGGGGAAAACAGTGATTGGATCATTGAGGTGGAAGCTCTGAGAGGCAAGGGAAAAAATTTTTTTCTGGTGATCCATTTTCATTTTCCAAGTCTGATCTAAATCTGAGTCTGATCTCTCCTGTGTTTATGACTTAAGAACAGATGGAAAAAACAGGTTTTGCCAGGATAGTGGGCTAACAGCTAACAGCAGCATCGCTAATGCTAATGGAAGATTAGCACCAATTAAAATACATTTCTAGCCAAAAGAAAGACATGGCAGTAATGTTACAGAATGTGCCAACACACAACACTTATACATGTACACATATATATGCTTTTAGTCCTATTTAGACTGGGGTAGTGGTGCACTTCAGCCTCTTGTGGCTGGATATTACAACAGCAACACTTTTGACAAAAAAAAAAAGAAAAGAATTCACCTGCCAAAATCTTTTCATCTGTTGCCACAGATAAAAACAAAAATAGAGAATGGACCTGGCAAAACTGTTTTCAACCACCTGGTAAAAGTTTTTACTTTTTTTATGAATGACAAAAAAAGGAAGTTACAAAAATAATCCCGGTAGAACATTACTTTGGCATGGCAAAAGTTTTTTTCCATTTGTTTCACAGATTTATAAAAAATTAAGACACTTTAGAAAGATTATCCTGGCAAAACTTTTTTTTCTCTTGTGATGAAAATAGATCACCAGAATTTATTTTTCTCACTTGCCTTTCAGGGCTTCTGTAGGAGCAGTAGAGAAGGTCAAAGGGAAACAGAATGGAAGGGGGAGGGTTGTGGATATGGCAATAAATAGAGATGGGAAAACAAAGAAAGAAAAAGTAAATAGAAAATAGAGGTGTGTGGCCATATGAGACTATCTGGCTCAGTCTCACTCTGTGGCTGTGTTTGTACTGTAAGTGTATGAAATGCATTAATCATTGTGTCACATCTGACTACATTCTCTCATTGGTGAACTCATACTGCCCTCTTATGGTGGTCGTGATATAATGTATTTCTATTTTTCTATTCTATTTCAATCACTTTTCAGTTTTTCCATTCAGTGAATACTTCGTTCCATCACCTGCATTTCAGCATCCATCTCTTGTTTTCCTTTCTCTACTAATTTCTCTCTAAACCTCCTCCAGATCCTGATGTCAGAGCCGGGGAAGTTATTACAGAAGGTGAAGGTGTGGCTTCAGGAGTACTGGAACATCACAGACCTTATGGCCATCCTCATATTCTCGGTCGGCATGGTTCTGCGTCTCCAGGAGCCGCCTCTCATGAGCTACGGGCGGGTCATCTATTGCGTTAACATTATCTATTGGTACATCCGGCTGCTCGACATCTTTGGAGTCAACAAGTACCTGGGTCCTTATGTGATGATGATTGGCAAGATGGTGAGAAGAGGCAGGGGTGGTGACGTGTGTGTTTGTTTGTCTTTTTATTTTCTATCTATAGTACTTCTCACATTTTTTCTCCACATTATCTATTCTTCATTCATATCTGACTGTTTGTACTTTCTGACTTCACTCAACCTGATTAATCGTGATTAGGAGTTAACTGTGTACCATGATTACAGAGGCATAATTTGTACGTGGTGTGCAGGCCCCATCCAACCTCCATTCCTCTTAACCTTATTGTTTGATCTCAGAGAGAACAAGACCAGAACCTCTGAAAAATACATGAAGACAAAACTAGCAAAGGATCAAAGACCCAACTCAGTCAAACATCTGTCTGATGTTTGACTGCCATTAACATGAGCTGTGTACCACTGGAGTCAAACTCTGTTTGATATTAAAATCAGCAATTAGTTAGAGAGCGAGAGAGAGAGAGATTTGGATTTGCATTCAACGACTTGGTCAGATAATTGGCATTTATGATACTGCGGCACCGTAAGATGATTTTGAGTCAAAGCAGTTAGAGAAGAGAAATAAAGAAAAACAAATTCTGAATTGTAAATACAGTCACCATACTTGCAAACTGCATTCTTACACAAAGGGCTGTTCCAGCTTTCCAGAAAGACAATAGATGACAGCCTTAATCCAAAAATACACTGTGTAGCAAAGCCTAGTGGAAATAAACTAGCTCAGAGGAAGGGTTTTCCCCTGCTTCAGCGCTGTAACTTCCCTAATCAATCTGGGATTAACCTAAATTAAGTGCATTTTAAATGTTGACTTTCAGTTTCATTCCAGAGCAAATTTAATTGAAGTTTGATTGACCAACCAAGACTCAGGAAGGAATAGCAATCAAAAAATGCATTTCAGACCAGAATTCATCACACTTAAACTGTTTCTCCAGCACACTCCCTTCCTGTTCCCCTGTCTTGCCTCATTACTGCTTTCTACGCTTTATCCATTCCTTCTTGTTCTATCATCATTCCTTTCTATAAACATTCTTACCAACTGCTATTCATTTTTTTCTCTTCTTAAACCACTCACCCCTTCCCTTCTCTCTTTGACAACCCTCCTCTACCCCCCTCTCCCTCTGTCAGATGATCGACATGATGTATTTTGTGATCATCATGTTGGTGGTGCTGATGAGTTTTGGGGTGGCGCGTCAGGCCATCCTTAACCCTAATGAAGACCCATCCTGGATGCTAGCTAGGAACATCTTCTTCATGCCTTACTGGATGATCTACGGAGAGGTGTTTGCCGACCAGATTGACCGTAAGTTCAGGGCCAGAGTTTCAGAGCTATTGATTTAACTTCATCTCTGTTGATTCAGGGGAGGATAGTTCCTGAATACATATGTATCTCAGTGCAGAATTACTAACTTAGTTTTCAGTCATTTTTCCACAGGTTACTGGAAGATGTCCTCTTGTAACACACATATTAAAAACACTTTAGTACAAGGCAAATTGCATCTGCAATCATAGTGATAATGAATTAGGGAAATTCTTGACAAATCTTTTTACACCACCATTACTTAGCTTGTTACGAAAGGACATTAATGCCTACTGTCATTTTGTCTTGACCTATTTTGTCTCTACGTTTTTTTTATACCATGTAGACAGAGTGACATTTTGACTCAATAAATTAAAAATAGACTGCAAGCAGTGTCTGTGAGAAAATGTCCTGAGAGTGAGAGTGTATTTGTGTGCTGTTCTGTTGTCTATTTGTATGGTAGTATATATGATGGGTGTGTACAGAATGCGAGGAGTGGCCCAAAGAGAAGAGATCTGAAATAATGTTTTCATTCTTTGTTTCAGATATGCATAGTAGGAAGTTACAGCACAGGCTGAATGAAAAACTCTGGCTGGTCGAAAATTACTTTCGAACTCACGGAACCTGGCGTAATAACGGTCCATCCCACATTGCCCAATGCAGTCAAAATCCCAGTAAATCTATAGATACAGACCTCAGTTTAACCACATCTACCTATCCCACCTCTCCTTCATCATCCTCACATTACCACCATGTCATGCCCACTCCCAGCACTAGAGGACACTTGAGACAAAAGTGTGCATGCGGCTCCACACGCTCTAAGGTTAAAGTTGCCCCCATGTGTTGGTATCTTGGGTCAGCTACTGTTTATCAGCAGCATTTTCTGTAAATACCAGAGACCAGTTCAGGAGAATCTGAAGTGAAACAAGGCCAGATTCTATGGGATCACCGGTCCTCTCCGAATCTTTGACTGAGACAATGAGTAGCTTGACCCGAGGCTATATCTGTAGGCAACTTTACCCTGACTAATTTTGGCACTGGCTGGCAAATGGCACTGTTACATGGCAGTAGCACTTTTCAGATGTTTTCTAATGTCTTTATTTTTTGTATTTATGTTCAAACAGCAAGAGGAACTATCAAAGTTGTAAAATTTGATATTCCCTTGATGTTTCTTCTACCCATTTTTTCTCTCAACTTTTAATTAGTTTTATTTGAGGAAGTGACCCTGCCATGTTAACACCGTCTGTCACATAAACCATGTCACCCTTCCTTTACGCTGGCTCAGCTTCTCACTGGAGCAATTGCAACATTGCCAAAATTCTTCTACCAATATAGCCAACATTTAGCATAAGTAAGCATTCAGATTTAAACATGAATATCATATCATGCACGAATAAAACACACACATAACATGTAAACACCCACAGCAGAACATGTCTATCAGCCACCTTCCATCATCTATAATCTGTTTTTTCACGTGGTTCAGTTGTCAGAGTTTTTAAATCCAAATTTTTTTTAAGGTAAAAATTTAAAAAAAAAATAGAAAAATTACTTCAGTTCTCTGTCTTTGGGCTGCATTGTGTGAAACAATTGAACATCAAGCAATGAGGAGCATGACTAGAATGAATCTCAAAGGCAAACAAACAAAGAACAAATCCCGAATGTTCCCCAGATAAGCCACAGCAACTGAACCATCACAGATGGAAAAAACATACTATGTATCCTGAATACATTTCAAATGATTCAGAGCAATCAACCATTGCTGAATGAAGCTATGGCACACATATGTGACAATATATTTTAAACATTGAATACATGTTTAAATATATTGGAGGCACAAATTGTGATGACACATGATGAATGTTTTTTTTTTTATGTGTCTATTTTGTTTTAAGATGCACTTTTCTGAACATGAGCCCCTACCATTATTGTGTCCGCTCTTTCCAGTCCCCTCTTTAAGAGAAGAAGCATAAAAACAAATTATGCTTCTTGTTTGTTTGCAAAATATGTACTTATGCATTTTGTTTGGTATTTTCAGGTCAGCTTGTCCCTTTGTTTTTGTCTCTTTGTTATCACTCAATCTACAGTTCATCTTTGAATGTTTCATGTCTTTTTTAATTTGCTTAGTTTTTATTTCACTATATGTTTTATTTTTCTTGCTGTGTCTTCTGTTCATGTAATATGTCTGCATGTTTTTCTAATTTGTCATGCACCTAAATTTTTATACTAAAACATTATTTTGATGGATTCAAGTCTGTATCTAAAGACATACTTTAACCCTAACTCTTGTATTAACTTGTATGTTTGTGTATTTACTTTGTGACGGCGTGCAGCCCCCTGTGGGCAGAACATCACTACAGAGGATGGGGTGGTGGTGGCCCTGCCTCCCTGTAAGACGGGTGCGTGGATTGTCCCAGCCATCATGGCCTGCTATCTGTTGGTGGCCAACATACTGCTGGTCAACCTTCTCATAGCTGTGTTCAAGTACGTAAACGCACAAATAATTTCTAAACTTGAGAAAGTAATGCTTTGCACACAGACCTGAAAGACACTTATTTTGGCAGCATGATGACAGAAGTGATTTATCGCTGTTCTCCAACGCTCTCTCCAAAACTGTATCACTCAGACATGTTAGTCATAGTCTAATTTATGCAGTGTGTGTGTGTGTGTGTGTGTGTGTGTGTGTGTGAGTGTGAGTGAGCGTGTGCGAGTGAGCGTGAGATAGAAAGTGAAATTGTTGTTTCTGTTTGGGCTGCTGTTAAGCCACAGTCATTGGAGGCTGGCTGCAAATTGTATTATCAGAACAGGATGGTGCTTCTTCCAGAGAGACATTACCATGCTAATGATCTGTTATTGTGCCTCTGAATAATCCATGTAGCAAGGCGATCATCCTCGTCCTCACATTTGTCTGGGTGATTACCAAAAAGTGCACAAAGGAAAAAACAATCGTTAAATTGAAGGTTTAATCACATTACGCATTACAGCAATCATTTATTGTGTTGGGCAATGCCTTAATTTCTATTTCCACATACTCCGTGTCTGAACTTGGCTCTGCAGTGCAGCAGCATGCTAAGTGAAGAAATCAATTCAACAACCAATCAGATCTGTATATGTTTATCTGAGAAGAACATGATGTATGGTTTACCTACAATAAGTTAATCCTCGGTTGGTATGGCATATCTGTCTGTTATTATCACAGCAATACATTCTTCGAGGTGAAGTCCATTTCCAACCAGGTTTGGAAGTTCCAGCGCTACCAGCTCATTATGACCTTCCATGAACGGCCAGTCCTTCCTCCACCCCTCATCATCTTCAGTCACATAACCATGGTCCTCAAGCACCTGTGCTGTCGCTGGCGCAAGCATGACGACGACGAGAGGGACTATGGACTGAGTGAGTGACTGAGTGTATATACAGTATCATACAGTATATTTCGGCTATCATTATACTACCAAACAGATAAATATGAGAATGTTGCATTATCACTCAAACTCTTTCATCCACAGAGCTTTTCATCACAGAGGATGAGCTGAAGAAAGTCCATGACTTTGAGGAGCAATGTATAGAAGAGTACTTCAGAGAGAAAGATGACAGATTCCACTCCTCAAATGATGAGCGGATCAGAGTCACTTCTGAAAGGTCAGAAAGGACTACAATGAAAAACTATGTCTATGCCCTCCCTGTAGGTTTCAGCCTATGGAGAATTGTTATATACAGCGGCACTGAGAGCTTATCGCACTGCAACTTAAGAAAAAAAAAAAAAAAACATCTTCATCAATTCGACAACACACACTTCTTTTTTCTTTGCGCCGCATTTAGCATTTCAGTGCAAATACAGAAAAGAGAAGCAAATATACATGCTGCCATATACAGTACATACACAGAACTAAGATAAAACAAATCTGAAATGTTTTAAGGGATGCCAGTGGCTGAACTGCTGCTCCTTATTTTGAAATGACCACAAAGACTTGGACTGTGACTGACTGCACACATGGGACAAAAACAAGTGCATATTTCCCTATCAGGAAAGCCAGTTATTGGCAGCCTAACCCATAAGCTTTCAATGTATGTAGATCAATAGCGTTATTGAACTAAGCAGAGTGTTTACTCCAGTTTTTAACACTCAGATAGCATGAGCATGGCATAGCATTCAGCATTTTTTTTCCCTTTAAACATTTCTGTTGTGTTTTGTGTTATATGTCCTTTTATAATTGCAGTGCATTTCCAACTGTACCATACTGTATATGTTGTCACTGAAAATTGTGTTTCATCAGTTTGTTATTGTATTACTATTATTATTTCCTTTTTTTTTGCTTTTGCTGCAGTGTGGTGGTCTCTCTCTGTCAACATTTTCTCCACCACTTTCCTCTGCTGTTCTTCCCACTCCAGTGCTTTTAATGTCGTTGCTCTACTTTCTTCTCTACTCTATCAGGGTGGAAAACATGGCAATGCGTCTGGAGGAAGTCAATGAGAGGGAACACTTCATGAAGGCTTCACTGCAGACTGTTGATATTCGTCTGGCACAAATGGAGGAGCTGATTGGACGAATTGCCGTGGCACTAGAGCGTGTGACAGGGGTTGAACGTGGTGAGGTCAACAAAGCACGTTCCAGGACTTCATCTGACTGCACAGACTCTGCATACATACTCCGCCAGGGTGAGTGCCCAGAAGCAGCATACATCCTCCGTCAAAGCAGCTTTAACAGCACAGAGGGGAATGCCTACCGTCTACAGGAGGCACTGGAGGGAACAGCTGAGGGCTCCATGTCCCCTCCCTCTCCCACTGGCATGACCACACGCACAAGAAGCCACTCATTTTATGTCGGAGGTGGTCGCGGTGGTGAACGTGCGAGTGGAGCTGAGCGAGCTGAGAGCTTCTTCAAAGAGCGCTCACTCAGTCTCCACCGAGCCAACAGCTCACAATCTGTGTCCTCAACTGCCGCCCCCAAGGAGTCTAAGCCCCTCCCCCTGGCAACGTTGTCGGTCTCCCAGCAGCACCGTCCATCATCATGCATTGATATCTATGTCTCAACTTCTGAGGAGGTGGGGCCTTCAGAGGTCTTCCTGGATCCTCTCCGTGTGGTCCCACCGCTCCAGAGAGACTCCTCGCTGCAGTCAGATATCATGGAGACGGTGATGCCGGGAGGCCGGGACTTCAGCAGCGCTGCCACCAGCGGATTGGGCGACAGGCACTCGGAGGGCGTTGCAGGCAGCAGCGGCACAGCTGGAGCTATGTTTGATGACAGTGCAGCTGCTGATTTGTCGTTGTGCTCAGCCCACCTCTTACCAGACACCACCTTACCCCCTTGGGACATAGAACCATCCCCACCTCCCTCAGCAGGGCTGCTCGAACGCTCTAAGAGCAGTCGCTACCTCTCTACGGCAGGCACAGCATTCCTGGACGAGCCTTCTCTGGTCAAATCCCACAGCCTCATGTTCACACCAAGAGGCTGCTATGGTGGACTGGGGGCAGGAGTCCAGGTAAAAGCTGCAGAGTACACCAGCATCACTGACTGCATCGATACACGCTGTGTCTCAGCTCCATACGCTCCTGCAGAACGCTCACACTCCCCTGGAGGATCCACCTCATTCCCCTTTGATAAGCCGTCAGACATTGGTTCCTCTCACCCAGAGAGAGAGGCAGAGCTTAGCCACACAGAGTCTGATCCAGAGGACCCTGAGGACCTGATTCCAGCCCCTGATACGCCTCGCCTTGGGGGCCTTGGCGGGCCCAGTGGGGCCCCTCTCTGCTCCCCCTTCTCCAGGCTGGAGCGAGCAAACAGCTGCTCCTCAGATGACTCCCATCCTTCCCTCACGCTGGCCCCTCCGCACCGGAAGAGCCTGTCGGTGAGTGAGAGGATGGAGAGGGGACCGGGTCTGGGGGCAGACAGGGGGCCTGGGGCTGGGGGCCGGGGTCTGGCAGGAACCAGAAACCCCTTCCTCAGGAGCAAGTCTGGAGCACGGCCTGAAACAGCCAAGACTGACAGCCTCTCCATGAGGAAGCTGGCCACTCCATCAGCTTTCCGCAGTTTTGATAGACAAAACTACACGTGACAAGGACACTGATCAGCACACTCACACACTGATAGGACCAGGGAGGAAAACTGAGGGCACAAGTGAAAACAGGGTGAAGTTGCCCATAGATGGTGATCTGGACCAGAGCTACAGTTTTTTCACTTATGTTTTAGGTTAGAAAGAGGATAAAAGTTTATTCATAGTACGTGCTGGAGGGCAACTTTACCCTGGATCATGAATCGGGGGAAAGGGATGGGAGATGTAGGGGTCCTACTGTACACCAGTCAAATACAAAGAGCTATGAATCTAGACTAGTTTTTACCTCCTCTTGTAGCTAAGTAACTCTCAGTGGGGTGTTATGGCAATGGAAGGTGTATTTGTACTGTATGTCTTCCACCCACCACCTTTACGTCAAGTAGACATCTGTCACTGTGTTACATCACATATCCATCACGTTAGTCAGAGAAAGTGTACTGTTACTCTTAGCTGCATTATATTGTAGAAACTGTCCAGTCTGAGAGACAGAGCGAGGAGAAAGAAAGATAAAACAACCACCTCATTTTGTCATTTTGTCTTAGCATAGTGTCATTACTGTCACAAAACTTTCACTTTAAATACATTTTTCTAACTCCACCCTAAGACCCCAGCACAAGCAAACAGAAAGAAGCTAACATTTCTGGCTGCTTCATAAAGGAAATCAGTGAAGTGTTTGAAACCCCTCGTGGTTGCATTGGAAATGATGGCAACAACTTACCTCTGGATACACTAACACATCTTTCAAATAATCAATATTTATCTTTTTGCAAAGAAATATCAAATTTGTTTTTTGTTCACATATTGTAGTAGAACAGTTTTTATTTCTTTTGTCAGATCAGCTAGAAGAAGAAAGCAGTGTTTCAACATACTCCAGACAAAAGGTCATTACGCTGTCACATGTTTCCAGTCATGGCTGTCCAGTGTCAGCGATCTGTATCATGCAGTGACTGGGAAAGTAAAATCTGCATTTGATTAGCCACGTGATAAGAGTGAATAGCTAGAAGCTATCAGGAAGAAGTGAGGAAGAAATTGTGACATGAAGACTGAGCTCAGCACGTGACAATATCCAGTGTTTTACAGCTCGTGATTGGGGCACAGATTCAAGGCATGAGTCTATATTAGTAAAGCAAATGACGGCAGGCAGTGCTTTGAAGGCCAATGCATAAGAAAGGAAATGAGATAGAAGAGTTTTGTTTTGAAGTGCATGTTGACATTCACATGCCTATTTACATGTCTACACACATACATGGTCAGTGAAGTCCTACATATCACTTGGAAATAAACTTATCTTCAGACCTGACCCCAGAGAGCTTTAACAAGTGCAATTGCAAAAAATGGGGACAAGAGGGCGCTGTGAGCCTACTTCAGAACCAATGCTTGCTGGGCGAACCTGATATGAACCTTCTTTGCCTGCACCTGACACCAAAAATCCTTCCATTCAACCAATCGTAGCTCTCTTGTAGCCCAGCAACTCCTCCTTCAGGTTTTGGCAGTGGCATTATGTTGCAATGGTTTTATACCCACCTACACCTAATGGATCCGTCCTTCATCTATTCCATAACTGTCATTCATTTGCTTTTCTCCTTTATTTATTTTTTATTGCATTTAAAGCCAGCCACTGCAAAAGCAGACTTTAAAAGAAAGCAGTTGCCCCATGACTAAGCCTATTATAAATCATACACAGGTCAAGAAGAGGTTTCTTAAGAAACAGCTCATTTATGAGTTTACTTTATGAAAAAAATAAAGCTTGAGAATAAGCTGTCGAGTATATGCATTCTAGCTGAGATTTAAGAAAGGCGTGCATTTTAAGTGACATGGAGGATGAAAAATGGGACTATTATTATTAAAAGATGAAAGCCAGATCAGTGTTTTAAAATTTTCTCATTTTTTTATTCTAGTGGAAGAAGTCTGGAGGGGAAGAAGAAGTCCTTCTCTGATAGCTTTGTAAAGATAAGATAATTAATTAATAGAATTCTTACTGATTTTTTTATGTTTATGTTTTATATTTCCTCGCTATTACAATTCATTTTAATCATGTTGCATTTATTTTGAGATTGATTCTATTTATTGACATTTTCTTGCTCATTGATAATTACAGTAAATGCCTGTTTGAATTACAAAATTAATATTTATATCTACTCAGTGATATTTTTGTCGAATTTTAAGTATTTTCTAATTAAACTTTTAAATTTAATAAAAGATGACCATCTACATGCACTAAATGCTGATGTATTATATTATTTATTAAATATAGAATTGTCTGATATACTGTACATTTCAATCATATTTAAAGTATTTAAAGTAGTTTTTATTGTACGTTTTATCAAGCAGCTTATGAGAATTTTCTAATGTAAAGTTGACATGGCAATACACAGTTGCCAGTATACCAAACTTAGGGTGCCTTTTGGGCATCGATGAGTATGTGGGGACTGAAGTGATTCAAAAGTCTGTGAAATTTCTCATCTGTTTCTTTTTCTTCTCTAATCACAGAGCCCGAATATCAGTAATTATTTTCAACATTTGGCTTTTGCATACTCTCATAGACCTTTGTTGTTCTCTTTAAACACTTCTGCTGTACAGAGTAGGGGACTGTTGTTATTAGTAGACTGTGTCATTGCTTGTATGGACATTTATTTGAATCCACCCAAACACATAAAGCGATATGATTGAAAATAATTCATAGCTAAAGAAAAAAAATTATTTGCACATGAAACTGAGACATATGTATGAGGATAAAGCATCACCATGAAGTTGGTGCTGCTGCATTAATTCTATTTTCTTGCTTGAATTGAAAGCTTTGACTTATCTCTGTGTTACAACCCAGCCTGCTGGATGATCCAAACTGTTAACATTCCTGCTAAACCTGACCTAAACTTTAAAGGGGTGCCCCAGCGATTTAGTACAGTACTTCCCTAAACTTACAAGAGACAGATTTAAGAAAAGAATGGTTAAAATTGAAGCAACAAAGGCCAAGATACCCTAACTTTTAGTCCCAAGTATGGGTCAAGCTTCTACAATTTCCATAATGCAGCTGAGTAGCATCTTTTTTATGAGACCTTGCCTCATCATTAAATACGTACAAATTTCAAATTCCTGATCCTCAAGTCTCCAAAGCTAACTGAACATCAGGGTTATTTTCTTAAATGTCAGAAAACTCCCTTCAGAACTACAAAATATATCATCATACAACTGTAAACTGGCTTTTATTTGTACAAACAGTGGAATGCCCCTTTAACCCAGTAACTACAACACCAACATAAATTGTACTGTTGACACATGGTCAGTATGGATCATTTAGGTTGGACAGACCGGGGGGTAACACACTTAAATACCTATAAGATGACAAGTAGGATGTTGTAGTCGGTCGATTCATACAAAGGAACTTATCTGCAATGTCCTCAACAACTATGTAGGTTACAGTATGTTTTAGAGAGGAAAGGTTGACCCCAAGTCAATGCTCAGGGACAACATTACCCCAGTGATGCAAGGTAGTAAGTATATCATGAAGTCGTGGTGGTGGAAGGAAGGAAGGAAAGAAAGAAAGAAAAGAGTTTGTCCACAGCAGACTTCCAATATAAACACTGTGCTTTATGAGTTTAACCCTGAAGCTTTGTGGATCGTAGAGAATCTATAGATTTTGTATTCTATGTCTTCAGAAATGGCAATAGTGTATGAATGAATGTCTTCATACCTGATTGACTTGTTCACTAATAGAAGTTTAACTTCCCGACAGTACAAACAATAAGGAGGTTTATGGAGAATTGTGTTTTGATAGAGAGCTTTGTTCATACACAGTTGACCCTTACATAGTGAATCCAACCAAAATTCGCCAAACCAAATGGAAACGAGCTGAGCCGTGCTCTACTGATCTGTTGTCGACACAACTGTGACAAACAGGCCTAACCAAGCAACGGTCGTACAGTTCAGCTCAGTTTTGCATGGCTAAGTATAAAAACAGATGTCGGACTGAGAGTTTCGACCCTTCTATTTGACCTGCTGTCACAGGAAATCAAAATGTTCTTTTCTTATTTCTTTATCCTTACAGTAAGGAATATGAGACAGCAAATATGTCTGTGTGTACATGATTCTCGAATGGTTTTGTGATATGTTGACATGGCTGTTGCGGAAGGTATTGACAGAAGGTGTGTGTGTGTGCGTACGTGTGAATGTGCGTGTACATGAACTGCGTGTGAATTCAGAAATGTTGATTACACTAATAACAGGGAGGCATGCCAACACAACACAACCCAACAGAATCTCAATGTACAGTATTTTTTAAATATTTTCCTATACTGTATCTTACAGTTTTGTGGAATCATGAGCAAATGATGATAATCAACAGATCTGCTTCCCTCCTATGACGACCTGTGACTCATAAGATAAAGAGCATTTATGTTTTTTCTGCAATAATTGCTGATGTTGTGCTTCTACAACCGAAAGGGACTTACTCCCCTGCTGATCACACTTTATGTAATGTCCTTTAAATGCATGCAGTTCTTCCACTCAGAGTGTACAGAGACAACATGTAAAGATGACTGAGAGAAAGATAGAGCGAGATTATAACATGAAATCAAAGTAGTGAGTATTTGGATGCAAATACAAATCTGTATTCTTCAATGTGAATAGGATCATGTCTGGCATGCATTGTTAAATAAACAATTAAATAGATTGGTATTCTGTGTCTCGCCTGTTTTTACTTTGCCCTGGTCAATGACAAAAAGACTTATAATGTGTATGGCAGATGTGAGAAATGTATGTAAAGTTAGAAGTGCGTTTAGTGCTATCGTATTTGTTTTAACGATGAGAAAAGACCAGCAGAGTTGTTTGTCACACAAGCTAATCCTAACCCTAACCCTTAGTATTGGATTGATGATCTAAAACCTGTAGACCTAAACATCAGGAACATCTGCATTTCTTTCACTCCTTTTTATGATTTAAGCTACAAACTGGGGGCGAGAGCTGTTAACCTCAATGTTGTAGAACTCATAAAACAACAAAGGCTCACAGTGTGTAAACCATCAAGTAATGAGCCACATCACACAAGCTGTTCTGCAGTTATGGCAGAATGTCAGACTCCCACCGCGTGCCACTGTCGCCTCCCATTGGCTGCTGGTGAGATGAGTGGGACAGTTGCTGCTGCAATGTCAAAACTTGTCCCACTGCCCTGAGGCATCTTTCTTACAGTTATTTTTTCCTTCATG